ACAGAACGACCAGGACCGTTACCACCATGACCAGCTCGGGTTACAAGCCAAAGGCCCTAAAGTGGCACACTGGCCAACACCAGCGCCACCTGCTATACAGTCTCCGGCTCTCCAATAACTATCACCAATGTCCATTCAGGAGGCTCACAGGTGGATGACACTGTGATCCTTGACGCACTACACATTCTTATGAGGAAAGGGCGGAGAGAGGTGACAGGCTGGCCTTCTGTGTCCAGGTAGTAGGGCATCACGTGCCACTGCATTGGGTGTATGAGCTACCCTCCTGAGGTCGACAATCCACACATCAGAGTGATACACTGGGAACAAGACTTGTCACACCTAACACTTGTTTATATATCCTTGTAGAAATAACCATTATTTCTATGGTAGCACTGATGTAAAGATTAGTTATATACTCACTTGTGGGAGGCGACCTGGCTGTGAACACTTGGCCTTCTGTCACTGACCTTGTAGGGCGAGAGTCGCAAGGCCATCCTCACTTCAAAAGTAGGCCTATCGACACTGGCACTTGTCCCTGGCACCTACACCAGCCAAGCACTCACAACTCGCTTTGGTGATCATGGAAATGAACACACAAATATTTGAGATTAATGCCATAAGGGATGAAAGAACCTTCGGTGACAATGCTAAGGGTGAGATCCGATATTCACCAACACACTGTGAAATTCGCTCCCACCTCCGAATATGTCCCTCAATAACACTTTAGATCAGGGAGGACACTCCACTACACCCATATTGCGCTAAACTACTACTACTACTACTACTACTACTTTTTTTTTTCAAAATGGCCTCCAACCTCAGCCATTCCTTCGCCACCATTTTATTTCCTTAATATTAAATATCCTGTTGGCATTCAGTGACTGTCGCCTCATAATCAGCTTTGGGGACGATGCTCGTTCCCCTGAGGCTGGAAACAAAACCGACCGAAGGAGAGAAGGACAGTCGACATCTCATCCTGTCTGTAACATAACTACAGGCTTGCTGCTTCTGTTCGGATGTCACTTCTGCCAGTCTGGCATAGAAGCATCTTACTTGGTCCCATCCACCAGTGGTTTGAACACTAGAGGAATGAAGCTGCAGCCCGATCAACGTTCACCAATTCTCCCCAAATGCCCTTATCTTGTCGTTCTCGTTCTTTCTATGGCACAGCTAGAAGTTACGGTGACATGCGGCTGTGGGATAAAAAATTCTGATGTTAAGAAGGCTCGTTGTCTGCGTCCAGAATCCTCGAACACTGACGTCAACACGGGCTTCGTTGGATGTGTTTGAAGTCCTATGTTGGAAGATCTTACCGTCCAATGGAAGGAGGGTCCGGTTCTACCATGACATCACGGCGAATTTCCTTCAACATATTTACTGGCGAGATCCTTTACTTAGTCATGCCTCGCCGTTTGAAGTCCTTTCTTGCGCACCTGCGTGATCGACGTCATAGGTAGAGCCACATACTTGTACGCATTGGGAGGAGCAAACCTTCTACTGGCCTACCATACCTTAGAGCATTGTCATTTGTAAATTCTTGTTTATTGAGACTGAAACCATTTTGCCCTTATAGGTAATATAGTTAACCAGTTTGAGGCGCCACCTCCTGCTCTATAACTACTTTTTTCGCAATCTCTGATTGCAGCAACAGTTGCTTGCAACTTATCACTGGCCGTGCTGTCATTCTGTCGTAATGGATGGAATCTTGTTACTACTACTACTACTAATATTGCTTTTCTGTCCTCCGGAATCGAGTACGACGATCATCTAGCTATGATACAATGATATGAGTTATTAAGGATGTCACCTTTAATTAGTAGCTCCAGTGACTCGAAAAGGCCAATATAGAACCAGCGAGTTCATCCATACATATGGCACTTGTGGAGGCTACTTCTAAAGTGGGAGAGCAACGGTAAGTTTCTTTTCCAGTGTTAGTACTTATCTGCTCAGTATGCATCCGTGCTAACTCAAACGTTTTAACACCTTCTTGTAGGTGCTCCTCCAAAACGTTACAATGTAGAGTAATCGTCTCCCTAGTGAGGGGTCGATTTGGCACCCTATTCAATTTTATTTTAAGACTTCATGGAGCCTTTCAATTGTCTACCAGCATTACTTTTTACTATTTGTTGGGCGACTGTAAAGTAGCTGCTTTGGCAGTCTACTGTCGTCCATAAAATGCTTATGGCCAGTCCAACATAGTTGCTCATGAATAATGGTAGCCTCGATGCTCCTATAGTTGGTGTCTGCGAGAATACTGTTCTTTTGTGCTTCCAGCGAGCTCGGAGGATGGAAGTTTTCAGAGTGCCTTAAGGTGCTCCTTGTACGTGACCTATGTCTCGCTGCTGTATGGCAAGTGTGGAGGGATCACTGCTCGATATACGTGCAGCTATATTGATGATTTCAGCTCCTACACAGTCGAACGGTTACAGAATCTGCCAAAGCTTGAGATGCACATGTGATCCGATGCTGAATCTCTTCATCGATCGATGTGGTGGACAGGTGGAAGCCGATATACTAAAAGTGGGTAACATTAGAGGGCAGTATCTGTAAGTTGGATGGATGGTGGAGGTGTGTGGATTTGAACCAGGGGGCAGGCTGAAAGAAAATCTGAGTCTTACGTACACATTCACCTGAAGGCCAGAAGTGTGCATGTGCAACTGTGTATGTTCAGGATCCCTGTAGGTCACGTTCTATGTATGTGAGCGACAAGGGGTGAGGTCGTCTGCATATTGAAGTTCAGTAATGGTAAGCTGCCGACACCTTTGTTCTTGCCTGGAGTCGTCCTATGTTGAAAAAGAGCCTTCATTCTGTACCCTATGTACACCCCACCGTCTTAATTTGCGCTGGCTCGAGTAGAGGAAGGTAGCCAAGAAAGGAAAATGGAAAAAGAGAGTCGGTGCCAGTACACATCCTTGTTTACCAGCATTTGGATGAGGAAGAACTCAGATCATGTCAGAGGTGCCACGTGAGGTCTAAGGCCACATTGAGATTCTGGGAGGAGAGAGTTTCCGTGTCTGGAAGAAGTCTATTTCGGGGACTCTGGTGATAATCTTGTCAGTTGGACAGCAGTGATATCCCTGATAGTTACCTGGCCATGATCTACTTTGTTCTTATAAATATTGACGATGGAGGCGTCTTTAAGAGCTTCGAGGATTTCCTCCTTTTCCTTATATTCTTTCAGGAGAGAGTAGAGATGGCTGGTAAGCAGAATTACTTCTGCTTTATACACCTCGGCTGATTCCACCAGAACTTGAGGGCCTTGTTATTTTTCATCTGTTTGATACCAGTAGATACCTCATCCGGTGAAGGATAGCTGAGTGGTCAACTTTGGATGCTGTGTCGTCAAGAATATCACATCGGTGTTTTGGTTGAGCTGCGATTGGTAGTGATCTTTAATACTGAAGGATGCCTTCTTCATCTTTAATTAGGAGCTACCATCGATGAGCTGAGTGGGCTGTACCATGGGTGATTGGCCCATAAAAGTGTTTTTAGTGGAATTGGAAAATCGTGATTCTTGCGTTTGATCAGCTAGGTTTTGTGTTTCACATGCTGTATTTTGCGAAGTTCGCTCTGGGTCGCCACTTTCTTCTTGCAGAGAATATCAGCTTTGATCCGAGATTGAGGGTTGTCCTGCCTGTCACAAAAAACAGCACATGTATCATCGACAAAGTACGTTATTTTCGGATTATTTTTCATGAAATTAGTCTGGTTATTCTTTGGATCTGGCCGAGGAATTCTCTCTGCAGTTTTTGTCATGACAGTGTTGGTTTTGTTTGTTTGTTGTTTGGTTGCTTATTGGCCCATGTTCGACCTGCTCTCTGTAAACATGTCTTACCCGCTGGCTCTGACTTAATGATGTAGTCAATGAGATGCCAGTGTTTGGATCGTGGGTGTTGACATGAACCCTTGAGCTTGTCGGCCTGCCTAAACAAGATATTGGTGATGATGAGGTTATGTTAACACACCTGCTGAGGAGGAATAGGTCGTTGGGATTACATTTGCCTACTCCGTTTAACCCAACAATTCCATGCCCTATGTCGGCATCTCTGCCAACTTGGCATTGAAATCACCTAAGACGCTATCTTCTCTGGGCATAGGGTTAACACTCTGTCAAGGTCAGCTTCAAAGGCCTCCTTGATGTCTTCTTCTGCATCCATGTTGGGGCATATACACTGATGAAGAAGGCATGTCGTAGAGTGATTCAGTGGGACTCGTAGCATTTGGGCGCTCATTGATCCGGATAGGCATTTCAGTTGCCTATGTAGGATGAATTGGCGGATAGCCAAGCCAGCTCCATAAATGAAGTTTCTCTCTGCAGCTTGGAAGCACCCTTCAGAATGTATAGCCAGACCTCCGTTCTGAGTCTACTCTCGTCTAGAACCGGGACGACTAATGGCTGCTATGTACCGTGCTTCAGCCTCTTTTTGCCACAGGGCAGTTCTTCTTTAGGATGCTCATTTGTGCCAGTATCCAGGAGCAGGTCACTTTGACATTCCATCCATCGACCATAAGTAGTTGTATGGTTTGTTTTTATTTTTGTCTGTAAGTTATGATTGTGTTTTCGACCGCATAGGGATGACCTTACTGGATGCGGTTGCACAGTCCTCACACACCTGAATACGCGCTGTAATTAATTATATTTGTCAAGTGAAACATGTATATAAGAGAAAGTTTCAAAGATCACTAGAGACAAAGATATTTGCTTAACCGCTAGACTAAGGTAAGGATATAGTACCTCCTTTAATATCCCTCAAGCAGATGTGAACAAAACCCCAAATGTAAAGTGTGTGGTCAAAATATGCCACACTCTCAATTTTATATAGGTTCTCGATTACATGTGAAGATAGAATCGTTTGACAACAGGTCAAGCAGACTGTGTGTGAGAATTACACAACACTTTATCTCTAATGGCAAAATAGATGATTTATTAAGATTGTATCCACTTTTTTGCACTCATTAGCTATATCATTTCCCATGTATAGAACTAAAACATAAATATT